ATAAGTGGGGGAGGTCCAATTAATACGGTCGAATTCTTAAAGTAGAGGTTGGTTGTTGACTGGGCGTCTTCCCCACAAGTTACCACGGGAACCAGCAAAGCCACAGGAAGCTGCCTGCAAGAGGGCAGGGTTGGGGAGGCGAGTGACATTTCTAGCGGCAGGGTCTTGAGACGTCAGGTTAGGACAGGGGAGGGAGCAGAGTTACCAGCCAGATGAGGGGCCCAGGCCCCTGGGGAGGGGATGATGGCGTTATCCAGCTCCTCCCTATTATCCCAACCCTCCGTCCTCTCACATAGCATCACGGGATCATGCCCCCCAGTTTTGCAAAAGCCACAGGAAGTGTCTGGCATGGGCCTAGTAGAGCCCATGAGAGCTCCTCCCCGGCATCGATCGGGAGGTGCCATGGGTTTGGATGCATGAGAGAAGTGTGGATGATCCACTGAGCTGGCGGGCAGTGCCCACTGAATCAGCTGTGTTAGCCAGGCCAAGGCCCTGCCCAGGACAAGTCTACCCCCAGGCAGCTGGTCATGACTGACTCAGGAGAACCAGGGAGCCAGGGAGGACAGAAAGACGGTCCCCAAGAACCTAGCCAAATACAAAACGGATGGTCATCACCTGGTCTAAGTAGCAGCAGTCAGGAAGGACCAGGGAAGTTATCAGAACTCCTCTATCCTCTCCTAACAAATACAGCAAGTCTCCCTGGACTTCAGGGGGTTGTACGTCCATTGAAAACAGTGGCAGGGAAGGGTGATTGTGAGCCCCAGGGGTAGGGAAAGCTTGCACTGCACTGAGCTCCCAGCTTAGCAGAAAAGACAGGAAGTCATGGAACCATCAGCAGGTGCGTCTGAGACACGAACAAGGAGGTCCCTGCAGGCATCCCAGGAGATGTTCTGGAAGCCTGAGCAGGTGCCTGGGACTTCAGGGTGAGATAGAGAACCTTTCTCACCCAACTAGCTTGCGAAGACTGCCTGGAAGAAGTGACCACTCAGAGCATTTTGAGTTGTGGGAGGGACGTGGGTTCTTGAGTGGACTTCCCAGCACTGGGTGTGGCCTTCAGAAGATGTGGGGCCATAAGACAGGACCAAAGTGGGTGATGGCTGAGTGTACCTGGATAACAAGGTGTGGGCGCAGGTAATGGGAGTTACCTGAGGAACCCCAGAGAGGGCATTTTATGACCTGCCTACCGGGACAAGGAGGAGGAGGAATCACAGCCTACATCTCATTAGTTCACAAAGGCTTCCTGGAAGAGGCAGCCATTCTAGAACATTCCAGACAAAGGTGTCACCAGAGAGACAGCTTATGGATGGAGAGAGGGTGTGAGGGAAACCAATAACAAGCATACACACTCCCTCCAACTCATTGGACCCCAATGTCTCTGGCAGCACAAGATGAAGCCCATTCCTGTGCTCC